CGGCCGCCCTTTCAACTGTATTTATGCGAGTGTTGTATTCTGTTCTATCACGTGGTGTAGGCCATATTCGCCAGTTGTATCCCCGAGATAATTGACCTGATCGGCACGCGAAACAAGTATGGCGGCACTTTGAAGAACGAGCGAGGTCGCAGGTGAGACACAAACCACTAGTTTCCCCAGAGTTGTTCACTTTCCCGTTTTATATATATAAATATATCCCTCGGAGCCCTGTCAATCCCGTATTTGCGAAAGCAACCCGCACAACCCTTTTGGTTCTGCAAAAAAAAAGATATATATATGTTAGGGTGAAACACCGAAATCTGGAGAATGTCGACTTTCACCGGTGAAAGTTGACATTCTCCAATTTCGGTCATTCACGGTAACATATACATACAACCCCATGGACCCCCCATATCCATTCTTAGGAGTCTTACGATTAGCCATGCGCAAAGTTTGACGTTATCGACCGACCACGTGCAAGCTAATCCTCGAACCAAGTCTCAAAACCCCATACAACCCCCTACCGATGTGTAACCCCATGACCTGGCAACTGGTGTTAGCTTGTTTGTTCACCACTGATCGCACTTGGGATAAATACGGCTTCGGGAAGAGATTTTTATTTTTCCCTTATTTTTTTTTCCACCCCATGGTGCAGGGGAAAATTTTCAAATTTTCCCGCCGGTACGAGTTCGGCAGAAAGGGGAAAATCGATGGGGGTACTGGTTCAAAGGGGAGCATCATGTATATATATTTTTTTTTCTTGTCAAGACCCCATAGTCGGAAGACACTTTTCCACCCCCTTAAAGTTCCTCCCTCGAATTTAGGAATTTTTTCTTTATTTTTTTTTTAATTGTTTATGCCACCATTTTTTGACATTTGTGTGGGAGCTGTATTTCTCTCCGAGTGCACAGTGCACAGAGTCATTGCCCAGCATGTTCCCCTGCATATACCCGACATAATTGAATGCATCTCTCTCTATATATATACATATTATATATATACACATATATATGTATATGACCTAATGTTGTACCACCTCAGTGTAATAACCTTGGTGTTTTAGTATCAGTATTCGGTGAACGTTTGCGTGTCCGTACCTTGAACCTCCAATTGTAGGTGAAGAGCGGTGTATTTGTGCGTAGCTCAGGTCTGGTTAAAAAAAGAAAAAAAAAAGAAATCGTCGACGATCCGACGTGTGTTAGATAGGGAAGGGAACTCGTCCGAACGAGCTGTCGTGTTAGTGCAAATGTGGCTGTGACTTTTTTAAACAACTATCGATATAACACCGTGGCAGGAATCCGGAAAGGTCGGGGTCGATTCGCTTCCGGTTTCGATTTGAAGGGTTTCGATGTGTGGTTCCTTCATTTTCCTCTTTTTAGAATTTTCCTTTTCATTTTTCGTGTGGATATCTTAAATCGGCGTTCCGTATTNTTTTTATTTTTATTTATTTATTTTTTTTTTAAGGCTGAGGAAAGTAGACAATGAACGCTTGCATTTCAATAAAAGTAAACTTATGGAAAAATTATTTGGGGATCTCTCTTTTTTCTTTTTCCCAGTACCTCCGGTATTTCTGGGGTCTTTGAGTGGACTTTTCGAGGTCGAGGGTCACCCTCGAAATTGTCACCGGCAGCTGACTAAATTGTTGTCGAGCTGACTTTCTGACGAAATTAATTATTCCGAATTAATAATTCTCTCTTATTTTTTTTTATTTTCCATCCGGTTCCTTTGTCGTCGATAACGCTCGAGGTGAGCGATATCGAGGGAGTCTCTCTCTTTTTCTTTTTTTTTTAATTGTTTATGCCACCATTTTTTGACATTTGTGTGGGAGCTGTATTTCTCTCCGAGTGCACAGTGCACAGAGTCATTGCCCAGCATGTTCCCCTGCATATACCCGACATAATTGAATGCATCTCTCTCTATATATATACATATTATATATATACACATATATATGTATATGACCTAATGTTGTACCACCTCAGTGTAATAACCTTGGTGTTTTAGTATCAGTATTCGGTGAACGTTTGCGTGTCCGTACCTTGAACCTCCAATTGTAGGTGAAGAGCGGTGTATTTGTGCGTAGCTCAGGTCTGGTTAAAAAAAGAAAAAAAAAAGAAATCGTCGACGATCCGACGTGTGTTAGATAGGGAAGGGAACTCGTCCGAACGAGCTGTCGTGTTAGTGCAAATGTGGCTGTGACTTTTTTAAACAACTATCGATATAACACCGTGGCAGGAATCCGGAAAGGTCGGGGTCGATTCGCTTCCGGTTTCGATTTGAAGGGTTTCGATGTGTGGTTCCTTCATTTTCCTCTTTTTAGAATTTTCCTTTTCATTTTTCGTGTGGATATCTTAAATCGGCGTTCCGTATTCTTGCCACGATCTCGAGTTACACAGGAAATCGGATCGAGCCTATGAGCTTGGGAATTTATAGGCATACGCACACACACCACACACTTTTACACCCGCACCACCCTGCCCCGATTTAAGGTGGGTTCGGGCGGGACGATAGATCGGTGCGATTAATCGCTATGGTCCATGCAGGTTTCATCGAAAAGAGGCTCGGAATAATTGTACAAGGCGAGAGTGTGTGTGTGTTTTTTTTTGGAAATTTCTGGGTGGAATTTTTTAAGGCGGACACACACTGTGGACGGAATCGGGGTAAATGCATGGGTCATAGGTCGCTACGATATATCGTTGCGCGGGGGACCACCTTTCGTTCCAATTTCCACACTCGGTGGTGCACGTGACACTTTTTTTGACACTTCGGAGCACACTTCGCGTCACGACCATGTTTTGCGGTTTTCGGGATTTAAATGATTAATACACACATATGTACACAAACACACACACACATGGGTGCATTCAATGCGTGGGGTGATATTTCCTACCGAGGTTTTTTTTCTCCCTCGTTTTGGGAAAATTGAGCCTCTTTGTTTTACATTGTCTCGTAGAAAATGGAGGATTCCGCAAAAAGATGAGAAAAGAAAATAAGTGAAAACCGCACGACGGAGCGTCCTCTAGAGTGCGTATTTTCCGCTTTTCCGCGGCCGGATTTTCTTTCCCAGGTAATTAAAATCCAGAAAGACGATCGCCCGATCGAGATCCGGGGATTATTATTAATACAGAATAATCCCAAGATGGCGTCGGTAAAAAGAGCAGTCTTTCCGCACTTTTCGTCAATCCGTCCTTGAACTTGCGTTCTGTTGCGGGATTTCCCGCGAATGGACATCCATTGAGCGTTGAATGCACTTTTGATTTTCCAATCGAGTTCGATCAGCTGATCGACACCCACCCCTCCGCCACCCGGTCGATCGCGGAGTACTCCCAAGTACCGAGTACATACCAAGTACAGACACCTCGCGACATACCCGGTCCAACACACCGAGAATTCGTCGGTAGGGTTTTTCATTATCTCTTTTTATTCTTTCTCTCTCTCTTTCTCTCTTTCCATCGAGCGCGGAGCTCATGGTGGAGGCGGATCGACCCGTCGGCCGCCATTTTGGTGCACGCGTGTTTCTTTTCTTCTTTTCCTTTTTTTTTCCTCTCTTTTTTATTATCCCGGCCGCACGCGGGGGGTGTGCGGAAACCGCGATCGATCCGCTCGTTAAATTCACAATGAGCTCCGTCGCGTATAGTGTTTTTTTTTCTGCACTAGACACGGCATGGAATGACTATATAAATATATAGTAACTATTTTCCACCCCACCTCCCTCCACCCTGTTTCTCGCTTAGGCGTGCCGATTATCGTCACCACATAAATCATATCGATTATGTTTATTATATCCCTCCCTCGTCATTTTTTATTTGTTATCACTGCATCGTTACCTCTCCCCCTCTCCCCCCCTTCTGTCTCTGTTTTTTTTTCTCTCTCTTTACCACTCGCTGATACAAATACACACTCTCTCACACACACAGGCACACAGTAGTGCGTTATGAATAGCGTTGGGTATCTTATGCTTGTTCGTTTTTTGCAAGACACTTGTTCGCACTCGAGCCTGCACTCATGTACGGACCCTCGTGTTATCTATGTATAGAGACTGCGTCTACTTAGTGTTATCACTTGTACGTGTATATAAATAGGTGTCTAGTATTTACTTTAGTCGGCTAATACGACTCGCTCCATTCCTATCGGGTAAGTTTAGCCATTGATAATTAATCGCCTCTTATCGGTGATATAAGTTGCATCGCGAGTCGAGAAAAAAATTAAAAAAAAAAAAATTAAATCCATTTTCGAGGGAGGACTTCCGCCCTCGGGAGACTCGAGGACCCGCACCGGAAGTGAATTTTCCGGGGTGAAAAATCGGGGAAATTTTTTTATTCAGATTAAAAAAAAAAAAATTTCATCGAACCTGAGAAATATTTCCTTGATACGATGAACTTTTTTATTTTTATTTATTTATTTTTTTTTTAAGGCTGAGGAAAGTAGACAATGAACGCTTGCATTTCAATAAAAGTAAACTTATGGAAAAATTATTTGGGGATCTCTCTTTTTTCTTTTTCCCAGTACCTCCGGTATTTCTGGGGTCTTTGAGTGGACTTTTCGAGGTCGAGGGTCACCCTCGAAATTGTCACCGGCAGCTGACTAAATTGTTGTCGAGCTGACTTTCTGACGAAATTAATTATTCCGAATTAATAATTCTCTCTTATTTTTTTTTATTTTCCATCCGGTTCCTTTGTCGTCGATAACGCTCGAGGTGAGCGATATCGAGGGAGTCTCTCTCTTTTTCTCTCTTTCTCTCGCTCGGAGTCGCATAGCCGGCTTTTCGAGTTGGATAATATATTTATATATTGATATATAAATATATATTTATATATATATTCATATATATTGTCGTAGCTACTCGTTCTTAGTCGTGTGCCTCCTTTTCTTACATCCTTTTTTTGCGATGCGGTCTCGATTTCTCCCTTTATTTTCCCCCCCTTGTTTTTCTTTTCTTTTTTTTTCCCCCCTTTGTCCCGAAATGCCGGAAGGGTCTAACTTCTGATTTGTGTTGGCAGACACATTGTTGTGTGCGGCCACATCACCTACGAGTCCGTCTCCCACTTCCTCAAGGATTTCTTACACGAAGACCGCGAGGACGTCGACGTTGAGGTCGTCTTCTTGCATAGGTATGGACCTTCAATTAATCTCGAGTGGCGGGCTGGGAAATTGTTGGAATTTTCCGAGGCCTTCGGACGCCCCGAATTTTCCTATCGGGGGAAATCAGAGCTTTCGATTTTATTCCACGCTCCATTGCCAATATTAATTATGGATATGTTCCCACGGTACATTTGGTACATTCATGATTCATAATTTTCCGAGGGGTCCTTCACACAGGATTTTCATTCTGGAAATGAAGGGAAAATCCTTGGAAATCACCGAAAGGTTCTCAGAATTTTAAGATCGACCTTTTTTATCATATGAAATAAAAGGCACTTGTTGCCGAATTTCATTGCTTATCATAGGAAATAAAAAAGCAAGGTTCTTAAAGAAGAAAATCATTTTCACTGATTTCCAAGTGAATGGTCCCTCGGGATTTTCCCGATATTTCTTTCGAGGCGTCCCGAAGGGCGCAAAATGAAATCATGAAATCATGAAATAATCGAGGATTTAATTAATCCTCCGTAGAGTGATGCATATTTAACTAGGTTTCACATTTCCCCCCACATTGCAATTTAGCGTAAGGTGAGTAAAAAAAAAACCAGCGTAATGAGTAAGTCCACTGGAGGATCCATCACCAGGAGGTGGGACTTGGGACTTCCGTATCCACCTGTCCACGTGTCGTGGGAATCCCTCTAATGGGGTAAAAAGAGGCCGAAAAAAAAAAAGAAAAAAAAAAGAAAAGAAATCCCACGGGGATGTTAATTTCCTCCCCGATGTAAGGACTGGCCTCTGTTTTTCAGAAAAGAGCCGGACCTCGAGTTGGAGGGTCTCCTGAAGAGGCATTACACGACCGTGGAGTTTTTTCAGGGAACCATGATGAATGCCGTGGACCTGGAGCGCGTCAAGGTACCCCCCTCCACCCTAGGCCAAAATCGAAAATCGAAATTCAACCCCCCAAAGATACAATCCCAGTCCTTCGATATCGCGTCTCTTGATTTTACAGCCTGACAAGCCAGCAAAGTTGTCGCTCGGGTCCAATGGATCGGATCGATCGATCGGCCGAATCGATCTCCTCTCTTCCTCTTTCTCTCTCTGGCTGTTTAGCTCGTGCTCACATATATACATATACCGTATCTGTCGTTTCTATTTATTTCTAGCAAGCACATTTGCATATATCGCATATTCCTCGTGGGGTTGAGGGATTTTCCAGCGGTCGAAGAAATTTCGAAAATGTGAAAATGTGAAAATGTGAAAATGCGAAAATGTGAAAATGCGAAAATGTGAAAATGTGACATTTGAATATTTCTTTTCATTTCTTTTCTTCGAGAACATTGGGTAGAGGGGAAGGTATAAAATGACGGAATCGCTCGGAGAATCCCTCGCGTATATCTCCATTCGAGGAGTATGGCGAGTAACTATACAGCTGCGATTTCCATCGGACAAGCAGCATCCACGCTCGTTACTCTTCTCCAGAGCGGCTCGAAGCCAATGTTGCCTCTCGCCGAAGCGGCGCAGCTGCGATTCTAGCAGGGTCCTTGTCCCTCCTATCGATCTCGCCCCCTCCGGGGGGTGGTGGGTGGGTGGCGCGAGATGCCCCCGCGGCGTTTACGATTCGCCGTTTACTCCGCGGGTTTGTTCGCGGGTTTACCGACCGAAGGGCCACTCGGATCTACTCTCGATCCTGCGGGGGAAAATCGGGAAATGCGGCGGGAGGCAACCGCGAGAAGAACGTAGAAAAGCAACCGCCTGCGACTCTGCATGCTGTATGCTGTATTGAGCTATGGGACCGGATCAGCGTGCAGTAGACTGAGTTGTTGTTAGAGGCGACTCGAATTTCTCCTCGCTCGGTAGAAATGTCGAATATTTCGGGACACACTCGCGGAGGGAATGCAATGAAGGAATTGAAGTTTTGAGCTTCAGCCCCTTCGAACGCGGAGCCATTTCGACATATGGGCGAGATTCCTATGGCCGTGCAGGGGATATTCGACCTTACCTCGGAAAAGCCGAAGGGTTAAATAATGTATTTCTTCGGTCAAATGCACTTTTATTTTCCCAGTGCAGAAGGAAAATCTCAATTTCGAGGTGTTTCTTCTTTTTCACATCGCATACAAGTCATCGATTAACTCTTTGGACACGGAGCCATTTCGACATATGGGCGAAATTCCTCTGACCGTGCAGGGGATATTCGACCTAACGTCCTAACGCTCTTAGTAGCTGAAGGGATGTCAAAGTGACACCGAGGAGGTTCATGAAACTTTTCTTCGAACGGGGTGTGTCAAATTCTTTCCAACTTGATAATATAAATATAGAGGGTATAAGGAAGCTCCTGAAACTCCTGAAATTTCCATTTTTTAAAAATTTCTTATTAAAAAATGAGTAATTTCACGAGGGTCGGGACTATTTTTAAAGTCTCTACATTCACGATGTAAAGTTTGGAAGGACTCGATATACACTCAGTTCATAGAAAAGTTTCATGAACGCAAGGATGTAACACGTGGTTTTAGTAATTCTCACCGCATATTAACCCGGGGTTTCCGGGATTAATTATAAATATATTAATCGTCCCGAAATGTACGAATATACATATCTATTATGCGGATATATCTGCGTACTCGTTCTCCTATTTACATCTATACTTAATACATACTAGGACGTATATAGTCACGTTTGCTCACGATTCTACCGCGTTATACTCGATATCTACCTTCATATATCTACATTTATATTTATATATATATACTATTGTATGTCATTATCGAGTTGGATATGCAAAAAGCTCGTCACTGCGAGACTATATATGGTTTTGGACGATTAGGAAGCCACCCGACCTCGAGCTGGAGGGACTCTTCAAGAGGCACTTCACCACCGTGGAGTTCTTTCAGGGCACCATCATGAACCCCATCGATTTGCAGAGGGTCAAGGTGAGTCGAGACTGGCCGTGTAACACCTCGACAACGCACACTGACACACTGTGGAATCTCGTGACGACGGCCCTCTGTGTCATTTGCCCTTCCGTGCTAAGAAAAAAATTAAAAAAAAAATAAAATAATACAGCCGATGAAATGTCGAGAAAATGCAATCGACGGTACGGTTTTTTTTCTCGAGGGAATAATTGTCTCTTGCAATTATTTTATTTTATTTTTTTTTTTCCCGTCAATTAATTGTATTCTTTTTCTCAGCACCGGAATCTCGTATCCGGCGCGAGGCGCAGCTTCCATGACGCTTTTTTCTCGGCCCCTCTTTCTCTCTTTCTTTCTTCTCTCTCTTTACACATTTCTCAGACTCCTGAGCTATTGACTTGTCATGGTCGCGACTCTCGTCGAGATACCCCATGGGGCGATCCTTAGGGTGGACGATTCGGTCTCGAGACTGCCGAGAGTCGTTTTGCAATTTCTTGTTTCTTTACACTTTTAATTAATTTCTCGTCACGAGATATTTTCATGGGGATTGGGTGGTTCGGATTGGACACTGGAATTTTTTTTCTTCAGATTTTCCGTTTGGTTTAGCCATGAAAAATTTTTAATTCATTTTTTTTGCCGGATATGGGGTTTGTAGAGGTTCTTGGGGTGACATTCATTTTAGTTCCTTTTTTATTTCTATTCTCGGCAGTGCCGAAATTCGACGACCCCATAGGAGTCCCACCCCCCGACCTCCCACCCTCGCACTGTCGTGACCCCCCCCCCGGTGTATCCGGAAATGATTGTTGCCTGTGTGTTCTCTCTATCTAACCCCGTGTCTAGTCCTATGGACCCCCGTAAAGTTCGCTCAGTGTCGCCCCCCGTGTGACAATTGCGAGTCATGGGGTACACCCCCTTAAGGGGTGTCAAAGTGCCGTCAAAGAGGCGTTTATGAAATTTAGTCGAACTGCGGGTACCTGATCTTATGAAACTTTACACCGTGAACATGGGGGATGTGAGGGAGGTCCTGACCCCCATGAAATTTAAATTCATAAAAAATTCCCTTATATATGTTTTTGAAATTTTTATGTAAATATTGAAATTTCAGGACATTACATTAGGGATTTAATATTAATGTTATGAAATTTTATACACCCAGTGGAGAAGTCTCATGAACGGTGAAACTTTGACATCCCCATAAACCTAGGTAAACCCCATGACTTGTCTCCGATTTTCTCTCCATCGAGATTCGGGATGCCGAGGCGATCCCCATGATTTATCCTCCCCCTCGGGATTTACACCATGGTACAAACACGTACACACGAGAAAGAGAAAAAAGACCCCTTAAAAGGCTATGTTACTCCCATGGATAGACCCATGCCTGCTGATGACCCAGGTGGGTAAGTGCTCGTGTTTTCTCGAGACGCCTTTAACACCGTAGAAATATACGTAGCGCCATATACCTCTTTTTTCGCTCTTTATGTATGGGGACTTCATGTATAGGCACGTAACGCCAACACCCCATAAGACTCCCCCATAAGGAAGAAAATCCCCTTTTCATGGGTTTTAACCGTGGAAACTCCTCCCAGCCTCTCGACCCTTTGCACTAATTACTTATTCTAATCAAATAATTCCTCTTTGTATTTTTTTTTTTTTCTTTCCGACACTTTTGACATTTCAACACATGGGGTGTTGACGTATGGTGTCACGTATACCGGAAGGTCCTTAATGGCAGAAAAATCGCCAATTTGTGACTGGCCTTTTAGGGCTGTTCACTTGCATTAGATGCTTACCCTTTTAGTACATATGTGTACGCCTATGTATACATGGGTACATATGGGTACGGACACGTTTTGGGTTGACTGATTAATACTGACACTGTCGATTGTCCCGTGATTAAATTCGGAATTAATCCCAGTGTCTTTATTTATTAATCTCCCCATCACGTGCACGTTAATCGTAGATTAGCATGCGAGGTAGCCGGGCTTTTTTAATCTCCAGTTACTTGAACCATGCACAGTCTTAGCCCGATATTACCACACGGAGAGAAATTTTCAATTAACCGAAATTAATGTGCATCTTTGTCTCGAGGATGTATTTTGTTAATTCGAGGAATAATTATTTCTCCGGTTTAATTGAATTTTTTCTCAGGGCTGTGGGACCCGGTGTTGAATTCAGGAAGTGTATCTGGATTGGAGGATAAATGTGCCCATAATTATGAAAGTGGTCTAAGTCAAAATTAAAAAAAAAAAAAAAATGAGTTTATCAGTTATTTCACGCCATATTATTTTAAACGAAATTAATTCAATTTAATTTCGAAACAAAAAATATATGACAGACCACTTTCATAATTATGGGCACAAATGGCGAAGAATGGAGGGATTTGAAAATTTTTTTAGATTTGGACATTTTTTTAATTTTATCTCACTGCATTCAACACTGGGGTAGGTAGGAATGCGTTTAGAATTGCCATGACTTCTTTTTCACGTTTTTTCAAGTTTCTGGTAGCGCTGGGTCAAATTCAGTGCCGAAGATATATGTCTCACCTTTTTTCTCCTTTTTACTTTTCTTGGAGGACGAGACTCGAATTCGAGGTCGAGTCGGAGTTTATCGCGCAGGCGCGTTCCGTATCTAAGACACTCGTTTATCTTTTGCATTTAGTAGCTCGAGCCCGAAGCATGCATCGATCTTTCCCGGGGTAGTTTTGGGTTTCCGAGAGCCGGAAGAGGAGGTTAAGGTCAACAGTCGGCGGAATCGGGAATTTTTTACATTTTTTACGGGTCGACGTTTCAAGAAGACCTAGACGACCTTACCTGTGAAGTCAAGAGACGTCCAATTTTTTTTTATATCATTTTAATCGTAAATTCATTCCGGTCGATTCGACATTTTTCACGTTTTTTCGAAGACCTCGACGACCTTACCTGGGAAGTCAAGAGCCAATTTGTTTTATATCATTTTAATCGTAAATTCATTCCGGTCGATTCGACATTTTTCACGTTTTTCACGTTTTTTCGAAGACCTCGACGACCTTACCTGTGAAGTCAAAAAACGTCCAATTTTTTTTATATCACTTTAATCGTAAATTCATTCCGGTCGATTCGACATTTTTCACGTTTTTTCGAAGACCTCGACGACCTTACTTGCAAAGTCAGAGACGTCCATTTTATAATTATCATTTTAATAGTAAATTCATTCCGGTCGATTCGACATTTTTCACGTTTTTTCGAAGACCTCGACGCCCTTACTTGCAAAGTCAGAGACGTCCATTTTTTAATTATCATTTTAATCGTAAATTCATTCCGGTCGATTCGACATTTTCTCTCACCGCTTCGACCCTTCCCACGAAGAAAGTGTTGGACTTGTCTAATTGTCTTTCTATTTTTTTTTTAATTCTTATTAACCCCAAATCCACCCCAATGTGATTGTTTTGTTACTTTCCTTCCTCCCTCCCTCTCGGTCGCCGATTTCTCACGCATTGGGCCTCCTTCATGGAATCGCGTTAAAAAATCGGATCGATGCATTTTAGGTGCACGAAGCCGACGCCTGCCTGGTCCTGGCGAACAAATACTGCCAGGATCCGGATGCGGAGGATGCCGCCAACATTATGCGCGTCATCTCCATAAAGAACTACTCCGACGACATCCGCGTGATCATCCAATTGATGCAATATCACAACAAGGTAAAAAGTTATACCACTTGAAAGGAAATTTAGTACATATATATAAATTTGTAATACATGTTATGTCGATCAGCACTTGATTTTTATAACTTTACTGCCACTTTATGTACTAAAAGTGTATGAATAAAAAAATTCACACACTTGATGCCGTTGAAAGAAAACCAGTGTAGGATTTAAGTACACATCCTGAGGTATGTATCTGGTAATTTCAGGCCTATTTACTAAACATTCCATCGTGGGACTGGAAGCAGGGCGACGACGTGATCTGCTTGGCAGAATTGAAGCTGGGCTTCATCGCGCAGTCCTGTCTGGCCCCGGGTTTCAGCACGATGATGGCCAACCTGTTCGCGATGCGGTCCTTCAAGACGGTCAGTAAAATGATTCCTTGGACGAGGTCCTAGATAAGCTCCCGATATGCATGTCGGATCGCTCCGAAAAAAGGGTCCTGCGACGTCCTGGCGAGGGCTCGACTTTCGCGGTCGGTTTCGCCGTCGGTTTCGCAACATGCATACGCGCGTCGTTTAGAAATGGTTGGTTGATTGGAACCAGTCGCCCGATATATACAGGCTTGGCAGAATGACTACCTACGTGGAACCGGAATGGAGATGTACACCGAGACACTGAGCCCTACCTTCATTGGAATGCCCTTTGCCAAAGCCACTGAGTAAGTCGGTTTCCACGATCACCCAAGCCAAGGTCCAGCAAGTTCGTTCTGCCCCGATTCGAGAGGTCCGACATCGATCCTGACCCCATCGCGGAGGAAGAGAGGATTTTCCTCCAAGGAAGTGATCAGATCCAGGAAGTGCGAGGGAGTCATTTCCTTGGGGGAAGGAACCCTTTCCTCCCCTTCGTAGCGGGTCCTTGGTCCTTATTTTGCTTTTACTTTCGTTTACACCGTGTTTTCCCATTTTCTCTACCCCATGCCCATCGGTCGACTCCCATGGACGGAACCAACGACCACTTCCTTCCGGTTGGACTCTCGAATCGGGAGCAAGGGATGAAGCTTCGCCTCGCCTTTGTCTTTCACTACAAGCCACTCCGCTATCAGACCTTAAAACGTGTCAACGTGTACAAACCGTATCTGTGCTACACCTAATCAATGTAAACCACCCTGTCATCGCTTCAGTAACGTCGTGTACTTCCCGGTGTAAAGGAAATGAGGTGCGTCAAGGAAATTTCCCCAAGACCGTCGATCGTCATTTTTCACCAAATTTTTCATACAGTCGTTTTGGAAGGGTAATCAGTATATAGGATGCATCTGAACCGTGGATTTCCCTAGGACGCACCTCGTCTCCTCTACACCGGGATTTCCTTCTCACCTTGGCAATGCTATCGGCGACGCGCCGACTCGGAAGGTACTTCAGTGCGCGAACGAGCATCAGCAAGGAAATGAGAATGAGGCGAACCGTCGAGAAAGGGATAACGCAAGGGATAGGGACGTAGGAATCGCGAGGGAGATGCGAAACGCTTCCAGGATTTAGGGCGCTGATCGATAACTCCGTCCCACCGTTCCAAACGGCACCGCGGTCCCTTGGGTCGCTTCGGGACCTTATCAAAGGATATCAGTCGACTCTAGGTACTCCAGGTGGGACGGAGGCGTCTTCGGGGACCCACCTGGATCCTCGGGAATACTCGGTTCGGGACCTTATCAAACGATATCAGTCGACTCTAGGTACTCCAAATGGGACGGAGTCGTCTTCGGGGACCCACCTGGATCCCCGGGAACCCTCGGTTCCGGACCTTATCAAACGATATCAGTCGACTCTAGGTACCCCAAGTGATGGGACGGAGTCGTCTTCGGGGACCCACCTGGATCCCCGGGAACCCTCGGTTCCGGACCTTATCAAACGATATCAGTCGACTCTAGGTACCCCAAGTGCGACGGAGTCGTCTTCGGGGACCCACCTGGATCCTCGGGAACCCTCGGTTCGGGACCTTATCAAACGATATCAGTCGACCCTAGGTACTCCAAATGGGACGGAGTCGTCTTCGGGGACCCACCTGGATCCCCGGGAACCCTCGGTTCGGGACCTTATCAAACGATATCAGTCGACCCTAGGTACCCCAAGTGGGACGGAGTCGTCTTCGGGGACCCACCTGGATCCCCGGGAACCCTCGGGCGAGGGTTCTCGACGCGGAACTTCCGCCCTGAGGTTTAAGGTTTCATGACGTGGAGCTGGTTGGTTGGTGTTTCAGTCGCCGGACACTCAGGCGTGGCAGAATGATTACCTGCAGGGCACGGGCTGCGAGATGTACACGGAAACCCTCTCCCCGTCCTTTACCGGGATGACATTTCCCCAAGCCAGCGAGTAAGTCCTCGCTGCCACGGCTGCCACACATGCAAACTCACCCCTTGATTTCTTTTCTACATTTTTTACTCTTTTCGATCATTTTTTTTTTCCCCCATTTTTACCATTTTTCCGTCTCTTGTTCCCACTCACCCCTGGTCCTCTTTTCTCCCCTCTTCTATTTTTCCCTTCCACTTGTACAGTTCTCCAACCCTTGGCTCTCGGGGTCTCCGTCCTCGTCCTTCCTCCCGATGTCTACGTAAAATCCCACCCCTCGAATAGACGTGTTAATTTGACGTAGAACCCCCTTTCCCTCCCCCGAGGACCCTTAGATTTTTGTACCCTGTACGAGTTTTTTGAGCTGCGCACGTTTTCGTTCCGTTTTTCGATCTCTTGCGCACGTGTTCACACACACACACACACATACGCCACACTCTTACCTCTCGATAGGGCGCGGACGTGGTCGGGGGATTTCTTTTTCTATGGACATCCGCTACTTTATGGAATTAATTTCTGCGGAAATGTCCTTAGACGGATTTTTATATAGGGCCTTCAAAATGGCGCCGCGCGGTACGGCCGGCAATGCAGGTCGCTTCTTTTCGGGGTAAACTGCTCGTTGGAGGATAATCGGTCGCGTGACCGGGAATTATCAGCGGGGCAGATATCGTGCCCTCTTTTTACCCTCTTTAGACCGGTGCGGTATTTAAGCCGCTCACTGCGGACGACGATGCGGTACGACGTCGTGTCTCGCGGCAATAAAAATTCCGGAATGCGGGAAAAGGACGCGGAAATGTCCATTATGAAAAATTAGGAAAAATAACCCCGGCCACCGAAGGCCTCAAGAGAGTTTCCGATCCCCCGCGAGGTTCCTCGAAGCTCCTGAAATCTGGCAAGGATCCTTGTCGAAGGACTCCCTTAACCCTTTGCACACGGAGCCATTTCGACATACGGGCGAAATTCCTCTGACCGTGCAGGCGATATTGGACCAAACGTCTTAGTAGCCAAAGGGTTAAGGGGATATGAAAAAAAAAAATTCGCAGTGAATTTCATTCACTGAAAACGTCCAATTAAAAAATTCACAGTAAATGAAATTAATTGAAAACGTCCAATTAAAAAATTCACAGTGAATGAAATTCACTGAAAATGTCGAATTAAAAAATTCACAGTGAATGAAATTCACTGAAAACGTCCAATTAAAAAATTCACTGAAAATTGCAGATTTCAGGGACGCGCTCTAGGACGCCGCGAGGGAGGGGAGCCGCCATCTTAGGTTGTGCAAGTCGGGCACCCCTGGGGTTCGAAAGAGACCCTTTTCTCTCGTATTCTCTCTCTCTCATTCTCTCTGATTCCCTCTTCGGAGTTCACGAGAGAGCTTTTAACACGTCGGGTCCGTTCCTCTCCGGCGTGGTGTGTGTCCTTTAGAAGTAGAGACCTAATCACCTTAACAACCGTGGCGAGGCTGTTGTACGCGCATGCCTGTTGTTCCTTACGTGTATTGCGATACGAGAAGCACGTCTCGAAGTAACGGCGATAGTTAAGGCATGGGGAAATACGGTGAAAAGGTGATATACACCATAGGCCGGCTTCGACGAGGCGCGATTAACCCTTTGAAAAAGAATTCCCACGCGAAAGAAAAGTAAATAACGAGCCAAAATTAAATAACAAGGTGTAAATAATTATTATCCAAGGTCTGACGTCCATATTTTTGCCGCGGTGGACCTTAATTTAAGGGAAAACTGGATTTCTCGTTAATACCTACACCTGGCGTCCCGCCGCCATTTGCAATTTCGAAGGCGGCCTCGCCGCAGTTTCCCGAAATTGCTGAAAAGCAAGGTAGAAACGGGTTAAACCCGAACTTGGATCCCCCTGGAGCGGCTCCAGGGAGGTTTAATTATAACCCACCGTCCAATCGGCCTCGTTGCTGGATTACAAACGTATATACATGCATAAAAAAGAAAAAAGGGAACGGCACGGTTTAGTCCGAGAGAGAGCACACACACTCACGACAACATCTGTGAGAGTCGATTGCAACACCACACGTAACGCCGATTATACTGCTGTAATTATATACATATATATCTATATATATTCTCTTCGTTTATTACCTTTGTTAGTTCTTTACCGACTTGGTTACCGTTATTATTATTACCAGTCATTATCGTTACTATTATTGTGTGCACCGTTTCGCATTTAAGCACCGTCCGTTGGTTTTGTCATCCCTGTAGTACGACACGTATGCCCAAACGTTTTAGCGTAATCTTTTTTTTTTGGGGGACATTGCTTTCCTTGTTGGTTTGCGTGTGTGGGAGTTTTTAATCTGTAAGGAGTCGACCCTCTCTTAGAATTTAGACGTAGACGATTCTTGACGATTTCACCATTTTTCACAATTTTTTCTTTTATTAACGGCTTGAGCGGGCTTTCCTCCGCGGGGACGCGCACCCTCCTTGTCTATTTTTTTTCTGATAGATGGGAGGGAGGGGGCGAAATTTGTTACGGGACTTTTTCGAAGATCATCGAATCTTCTTCCGTTTGCAATTTTTTCCGGGAGATTCGATCAAGTATTTTCGGAGTTATGGATTTTATAAGTCGCGCCGACGAGAGCCCGCTTTCTATCTTCCAACTTTTAGGTTAAGTTTGATTGAGCTAAGTTAAAAAATGATCTACCACCAATTTGATCCCTCAAGTTGTTAGGTATTTCATCGTCGATAGAAAGGAATTCTTGAAAAAGCTGGATTTTCGCCCTGAATAGAGTACTTCTTAGAGTAATTACTTATTGAGTAGAGAGTAGCCGCGGAATATCGAGTAGGCCTATCGAGCAATTAGAGTTACTATTAGAGCGCACATAGAATTCGATTTTCTTGCATGCTCTTTGCGTGCACCGAGTTTACATACAACTTTTTAGGGTTTCCGCTTATCCGCCTTGCATGACGATATTGCTGAACATACGCAATCGAACCTGCATGAGTGTTAAATGTTCACCTTAATATTCCGTGCGACATGGCGCCCCGAGTATTGTTCATCCTTGAAAATTATTTAAATAACGTCCATTAACATTCAATAAAAAATTCTAATTCCGCGCCATACAGCACGTCCACGTATAAATGTTCAGCATAAGTGGATGCGAAGGATCGATGTGAGGTTTTTTATATTTTTTTTAAATTTATTTCTAATCAGAACAATCATCGATCCTCGCATATTAATAGTATGAATATTAGAACAAAGTAGAATCGAATTTCTTCGTTTACACCGTAGATAGTACTTGAAACGATCGGATCTTTTTTAGTTCTCCATCATATCGAGTATATATATGAAAAGTGATCCTAGGGGACTCTAAATGAAATTTCAAGCCCCCTAGAGATCGCTAATGGGGGAAAATATTTTTTCCCCCATGCGAGATGCATCTCGAGATGAATCGGATATTATGCATGGACTCGTCTTAGGTTGTGCTTCACGAAGCTGAAGCTGCTCCTGTTGGCGATCGAGATCAAGGGCGAAGGAGGTTGCGACAGCAAGATCTCGATCAATCCACGAGGTGCCAAGATCGTCGCGAACACTCAGGGATTTTTTATTGCTCAATCGGCCGACGAGGTGAAACGGTGGGTAATCCACATTTCATTAACGATCATTAAATAATAATTAATCCTGAAATATATTTTTTTTTCTCACATTTATTGCAACGATCGAGTTCATTTCATAAAATTTATTAATCTTGTACAAAACGATCGAGTTCATTTCATAAGATTTATTAATCTTGTACTAAACGATCGAGTTCATTTCATAAGATTTATTAATCTTGTACTAAACGATCGAGTTCATTTCATAAGATTTATTAATCTTGTACTAAACGATCGAGTTCATTTCATAAGATTTATTAATCTTGTACTAAACGATCGAGTTCATTTCATAAGATTTATTAATCTTGTACTTTTCCCCGGTGCGATCGATGTAAGCTCTTCTTATCGTATGCAAATGACGTACTTTTCTTCCCCGTTTACAGCGCGTGGTTTTACTGCAAGGCGTGCCACGAGGACATCAAGGACGAGACCCTGATCAAGAAGTGCAAGTGCAAAAACTGTAAGTTAAACCACCCCGTAATTACCTAGAACCTCTCTATCTATCTCATGTTCTCTCTCTCTTCCTTCTCGTTTGACATACTACCGTCTTTCGAGTTTTCTACTAACCCAGTCTCTGCGACAATTGTACCTCAGCCCCACGGTGCATAGCGTGCATTGCACATACGATAAGTGCAATGTGCACCTTAAATGCACGCAGGACTTGCGTGCAAAACGTGGGTCGTCGATTTTTGCGAGTCGCCTGCCGACTATATCTCCAAAATCGGGATTAAAAAAGACTAACACATCTTAATAGTATGTAATTGCAAGAATAAATAAACTCCCACTTACACATGTATCTCGGATTTCCGAAAGTGCATATAAATTTTTTATTTCATGACAATAGAGGGCAATTAAACGGTGGATGTGGAAAATTAAGCGGGGCTGTTAAAGGGACGGAGGTAAATAATTAGTGAAATTTTTAAGGAGGCAGGCGACTCGCAGGGACTCCATTTTCGCTAACCTTCGAGAGTGCCCTCTAACAGTATATTCGCGACCTAAGGAAAGAACAATACCATGGTTGTGACAATGCTATTGTGATATATGATCTAGTGGGGCAGCAGCAGCGGTCCTGGGGCCGGGACTTAGGTAACGTCTCTAACTCGCTCGCTTACTCTGGAAACTCTACTTTTTTTCTTATCTCGTCTTACTATGCCCTCTGTTTTTTGTCTTCTGTCTGGCCCTTACATATATATATGATATATATGATATATATATATGATATATGCCGATATATGTATATATACACACATATTCCCTGGCTCTTGCTGGCCTCTTATTCACGTTACACGTTCCCCATCACGACCGGCATTTTGTCTTTTCTAATTTCCAAGCGTGCGCCATGATTCGCTGCGTCCTTTTCTTTCTCACCCATTTATTATCTCTCTTGTCTGCGATCGTTTTTCTCTATTTCTTGGATGAATCCGTCCGTCCGTACACTTTTTCCACAGTCTTTAACCTTCCGGGGGCGGCGACGACATCTTCGTGCCCACCCTGACAGTCTCGATGATCGTTTTCTGATGGACTTTTTTCGGGATTCTATGGTGCTTCCTTCTCCATGGGGTGTTTTAATGGTTTCCTTTCTTGACTTTGTGCCGGGATTTCGGAGCCTGCGCGGACGTGGGGTCAATAATTCGGGAGGGAACGGCGCTTCTTCCGGTGGAGGCGCCTCGTCGAGAGTCCTCCTCCGCAGTGCGCTCTTTCCCCTGGGTGTCCGGGTCCTGGGTTCTTTTATTTCTTTCAGAGGATACCATAGGGAATGAAGCCTCAAACCGTCCCGCATTATTTCTCGAGACAAAACCACCCCACATTGTTTCTTATGGCGAATCACTCCACATTGTTTCTTGCGACCAGACCACCCCACATCATTTCTTACTGTGATTCACTCTACATTATTTCTTGCGATCAAATCATCCCACATTGTTTCTTGCTACCACATCAGTCCACATTATTTCTTGCGACCAAACCACTCCACATTATTTCTTGCGACCGAACCACCCCACATAATTTTTTGCGACACTTTTTACGACAATCACTCCACATTATATCTTGCGACCAAACCATCCCACATTGTTTCTGGCGACCAAACCACTCCACATTATTTCTTGCGACCGAACCACCCCACATAATTTTTTGCGACACTTTTTACGACAATCACTCCGCATCTTGCGACCAAACCATCCCACATTGTTTCTGGCGACCAAACCACTCCACATTATTTCTTGCGACCGAACCACCCCACATAATTTTTAACGACGAACCACCCGACATTCTATCTTACAAGCAACCCACACCGAGACACCCTGGACACCCACCCCGATAGCTCAGTCAGCTGGCGCATGTCCACCTGACGGATGAGGAAACTAGCCTGCATTCTAGTGTGTGCCCTCTGGTCGCCTTGCATGCATGATTAGCTCGGGTCCGGTCCCCTCGTATTGCCGTCACTCAAAATCAGCAGCTTGCCTCTTCTTGACATCAGCGTGGCTGTCATTGATGAAAGAACGAAAAAAAAGGACAAGAAAAGGTCCCCACAGGGTCCTTGAGATCCACCCAAAAAAGAATCGCCATTCCGAATTTTCCAGCTCCAAGCGACGAACATTCATAAGTAGGAATAATTGAGATAATGTTCAATTACCCTCGATTATTTAAATTAAATTTAACCCCACACGGGGATTTAGTAATCTCGGCTCGGTTAAACGTGCCTTGGCGTTGGGGTGTACACACGTTGAGATTTTCGGTTCCTAATAGGTATATAGAGGTATATAGGTACATGAAACGTTTTTTGAAACCGACTAAACCCTGGGCAATCAAAAGTTAAAGGTATCCACGTGGCCTTGAATTATCGTCACGTCTTTGTAGATCCTTCAGGGAGGTTTTTAGGTCTTCGAAGGTTCTCTAGGTGCGTTTCCTTCCGTTTCGTCATTTCGTTTCCGTCGACGAAACAGGGTCCTGGATTTTAATCCGGAATGGTTCTCCTCGTCTCCCTCGAAGATCCACATTTGGATTCCCTCGGGATTACGACGATAGGTGATGGTATTTTTTATTTGTCCATTAAACGATCGCAATTTGCGCAACCAGTACCCCGGTTTGCACGTCTAAGTACTTATCCAGAAGGTGGGGGAGGATTTTCGAGAGGCCGGCCGTAAGTAGAGCACACGTTTTCTATTTCCTCGTGTCTGGTTCACCACTGGCTTTTTGCAGATGTGGGGATGATGATGATGCAGACTGGCATGGTGAAAGGAAACTCTGCTTACCACAGTTACCTCGACGGTACGCCTTTTTCCTTCCATTGTCCCTGTACACGTTAGTCCTGTTCGGCAGGAGCGATCGAGAGGAATTGTCGGATGTCCTTATCGCGTGATAAGAACCACATGTTTCTAAATGAAAAAGTCATTTCACGGCACGTTTCCGTCGCCCCACCTTGAGTATGAAATTCTATCTGAGCACCAGGACCTTCCTTAACCCCTTGATCACGGAGCCATTTCGACATATGGGCGAGATTCCTCTGACCGTGCAGGCGATATTCGACCAAACGTCGGGCGCTCTTAATAGTCAAAAAGTTAAATAATATATTTATATTTAAATGCATTTTTATTTTCGCAGTGTAGAGGATATCCTCCGTTAAATCTGGATTTCCAGGTGTTTCTTCTTTTTTATATCGCTAACCTTTCGAACACGGAGCCATTTCGACGTATGGGCGAGATTCCTCTGACCGTGCAGGCGATACTCGACCAAACGTCGGGCGCCTTTAGGCGCTTTTCGTAGCCAAAGTGTTAAGGGACTGGGTGATCGTTAGAAATTTCTTTCACGAGCGAATTTTATTCAGGACTTATCCGACAAAATTCTCGAGCTCGGCCACTCGTTCTCCTGGAAGTCATCGAACATTTTCACGTTCTAAGCTTTCCGACTCGAGCTTTATTGTCAAGCTTTTCGCTGCAGCTGTGTTGGGCAGGATCTTTCGACGTCCTTAATCGTGGCAAAGTGTTCCTCGTCCACGCTGCTTGCAAATCGGGTGCAAGGCAAGGACGAACATGTAAAGGCAGAATCCTGGACAAGGAAAAAAAAAAAAAAAAAAAAGAAAAAAAATAATATCAACAAAGGAAAAATATTTTGTTAATTCAAGGAATAATTTTGGATTGTCAAAATAATTCTTTGGTTCGATGAATCTGTTTCTTTTTTTCTTTCCTTCAGTTTGGCCTTTGTTTTCTTCCTTGTCGCGTATCCGATGCATCACCTCGTCAGGACTGCCATTCAGGCTTTTGTTAACTGATTGTTGAACGGTTAGTGTATGTCGTCTCGGTGTGCTTAAGCGAAATTCGGAATTCAAACCTGGCAGGTGCAGTTTTTTGTTTTTTTTTCTCGGTGGGAACGGAGAGTGCGGTCACGTAGCTGGAGCAACAGTTTTGGCAATGCCGCTGCAAGTTAATCCCGCTCTTTTATTTTCCTTATTCCCCCCTAGCGTCCATTTCTTCTTTTTTTCTTTTTAAATCCTGCAAACCGCAGGACAAATCCGTGGCTTGGATAGTCGAAGAAGCGACAGGTTTGTCGAGGTTTGATTCCCGACTTCTGTCAAAGTCCCATCTCTTCCAGGGGAGTGTACTCCCCTTCTGCTCCCCTCGATCTCAGAGCTGGATAAGACCTCCTAATTTCCGTGATAAACGCCTAGGAATACCGAGATTCCTAGGGAGAAATCGAGAGCCATCTTGAGAGATGGAGGCGACCACCCGAGGAAATAAAACCGTGAAACGGACGGCAATTAATGATTTAATTATCCATCGGAATCATCGTTAATCAGCTTCGATGCCCAGGGTTTATCCCCTCGAATTAGCATGTAATATAAAAGCGAGCGCAATTACGGGAACATGGGAATACTCCCTTCTGGCCACGTGGTCCACCGTGCGCCATCACTCGGCTATCGGGTATAAATAAGGGTCGCGGCGCGCGGACGGTCAGTGTGTCGCGGGCGGTCGCCGCGGGAGGACCTCTGGTCCTTGAGCCGCGAGCGAAGCGCGAGCCCTATCCGAGAGGGTCCCTTATGGCGAGAGGTGGTTAGGTAAAGTAAAAGTGGCCTCTCGGCTATCGGGTATAAATAAGGGACGCGGCGCGGGGACGGTCAGTGTGTCGCGGGCGGTCGCCGCGGGAGGACCTCCGGTCCTTAGCCGCGAGCGAAGCTCGAGCCCTATCCGAGAGGGTCCCTTATGGCGAGAGGTGGTAAGGTAAAGTAAAAGTGGCCTCCAATCCGTCCGCCATTTTTAACTTGTCAAAATTGATCGAATCCCTCGAAACCTTGCCACGTGAACGTTAAAAGGGAAACTGGTCGTACGATAAAGATGGTAAATGAATTAAAAAAGAAATTAACCTTCAGGGGATATGTTTAGGGTCTTCGTATCCACGTGGTTGGATTTTTTGGGGAATCGAGGCATTAGGTCTGGACCGGTGCGCAACCTTAATATCGCCTTAAGTACGTTTACACCCGGAGTCGCCAGAGGCGATTAATGTCGTTTATCGCGTGTCCCCGCTTTTGGCTCCGAATTCTCCATCCTTGTTTCCGTGGATAATTTAAATGACAATGATTTTGTATTTTTCTCCGCTCTTTTGCACGGTAATAAAGGGGTGGGTTTTCCAGTCTCGCCGCTCGTTAAATCCCGGCCTTAATGGCGCACCTCGCGTAAACGAGCGATTAGTCGTTAATCGCGGCATAGACGCATCGATCGAGAGCTCGGAGCTAGAGTGTCCCATGTTGATCCCCGCATCTAGGTCATCGTTATGTTGATGTGAAGACTAACGGCTCTGGTTCTTCTCCCTCCGGGCAGTGGCCACATTCCGGAAGGGCGTGAGGGCCGTTCAGATGGTCGGACGAGCAAGTACGTATCCCCCGAGAGTAGATTGTGTCTCACGTGTTATTTTTTCTTTTCTTTTACGGTGTTAACACACACACAGTAACCCCATCGATACGACACACACGAGGAGTCCTCCGATGAATCGAGCCCCTACGAGCCCGGCTCATCCGCGCGGAGCATCGATCCAGCGAAATGCGATTTACCCCTCGATTAACTCGCGATCGGGGAAAATGTTTCTTACAAAAGTTTTAGATAACACGATAAGGCACAACTTTTGTTCCAGGGGTTTTTCCGTGCCTCGCTTAGTTTCCCGGGTAATTCATTATTTGTGGGTCTTTGAGAAGTCGGAGGGGTGCTGAGTCGAGAAGAGGGGGAAATTTTGGGCTTTCTTTTTTTTTTCTCGCGTTTCTTTCTCTTTGGAGGGGGGTTATATTGACGTTTTTCGATTCATTGGAGGAAGTCCTGTTTCCTTTCATTCACATAACCCATTAACCATTCGCGTACTTAACGTGGCCTGGACTCTTCCGCGTTTTGTATATGGAAATTCGACGTTAATCCTGATTTCCAGGGATGACGGCTCGTTATTATTAATTAATTAAATGAAATAATTAGGCGGTAAGAGCCGGTCCTAGAAATGCCGAGTTAAACAATTATATGGAAATTCATTTGATGCGAGCGAATTACAATTTTTGAGACACTCATCTCCTCCACTCTTCCTCGGTTTTGCGCGACATATGTTTATACAAAAGATATCTCCGATAAAAATAAATCCCATGTACGCGAAAACCTCCCCATAACATTTATAAAACCAGATCGCTGCAAAAAGGACTCTTCACATAAACATTGAAAAATTGTATTTAATCCGGGCATGTACTTGGGGATTTAATATGTACAAGCCACGCGTCGATTCGCTTGAAATTCGAATTAATTATTATATATTGAAATATTGAAAATTATTACATAGTGGGATATTAATTTCGGCATTTTTTTTTTTTTGAAAGAGCCTCGTTGCATCGATCCTTGCGATATGATCGTCGAGATATCCTCGGATATGACTCAGATAACTATATGCAAATTGGTCCCAGCGTAGAATACATTAGTGTTTGCGTCCTGTTGGTGTGGTGTGTTTCTTGATATATCTGCTACCTCGATTAACACATATTAATGTCGTTTGCAACGTAGTATCCTGGAGGTTTGTCAGTGTTCTCGATGGTTGACTGTTGTGGGTGGAAGTTTTCTATTTTTTTTATTAATTTTTTAATTTTTTTTACATTTTTTCTCAGACCGGCTGCGACTCGAGTCTTTCGGTCTGCTGGCTGCATCGGTGTTTTCATTAACTTTATTATTTTCTTTGGTCGACACTAGAGTTACGTCCTAGAGCTAGTTAAGCCGGGTTAATTCGTCCTCGTCCACGATTAAAGGACGGAAAATCCAAAATTAAGGTCCGTTTAAGTCACCTTGAATTTCGGGAGGTCGCGGATTGCTCGAATTCAAAATTTTTTCGGAATGTACTGATCTACATATTAATTGCGAATGTGTCGTAATAGCGTGTAAGTGTCGGCATCTCTTCCGGTCCAGAGGCGAGAGATAGCTTGACGTCGTCCTGCGAATTAGCGTTTTTTAATACACAGCCTTAAGGCGACACCAAAGCGACATCCGAGGGGTCGATTATTCGTGACACTTTTCTCCGACTCTAGTGTGTGGAATCGTCTGAAATCTCTTCCCGTGACTTTGGAGGCCCTTTAAAAAAAATCCTGACCCTCCCGAAATTTCATATCATTATTATTTGATTTTTTTTTAAATTATTTATACGTAATTTTCAAGGGGGTCGAATCTTCCTTAAGACTCACATTCACGTGAGAAGGCGGAAAGTATCGTAATTAACCCTTAAGCCATTTTCCTCCCACCTTATTACTTTTCCTCGCGTGACTGGAGGCCCTTTAAAAAAATCCTGACACTCCTAAAATTTCACTTTATTTATTTATTTATTTTTTTTTTCCAATTTGTACATAATTTACATGGCTCCTTAAGGCTTCCACATTCACGTGAGGAGGTGTTTCCGATTCGGAGGAAAGTATCATAATTGACTCTTGATCCACTTTCCTCCCACCTTAATGCTTTCTTCCTTGGCTCCTATTCTCCTCTCACACCGCAAATCGAGCACACACAACTCGTAATTATGCGCCTCGAAGCCTTGACTAACCATCTGTGTGTCTATCTGTCTTATCACTTCGTCGTCCACTTCGTAGGTGAAGACTTCTCGTACCCAAGTAAGTCTGAGAAGTGTGTCCCGTAATTTGGTGTAACACGTAATATCGAGGAGACACCGCGGAATAATTCTCAGCTCTCCCAGATCAGCCAATCCCATCATCAATTACAGATGAACGCTGTTCGATATCGATTGATAAGCCCATCGAGAAGGAATCGAGCCGACCGGCCTCGTCTCACGCTCTGGATATGGAATTATCATTTTCTTATCAAACCGAGCGCATGACTCGAGAGGGTCTCTCTTTTATCCTTCTCGACCCTTCTGGGCGATGCAAATGAACTCAAATATTAAAATAATATTAAAATCGTCTTGAAGATTATTAAAAAAATATTTATATAAAATATGAAAAGCTGATCAACGTTTGCGCTTCTCCCACACGTTAGAGATATCACGACGTCCCGAAAGAGCACAATGCACCGTATCTCTGTCTCTCTATTTCGGTTTTTTAAATCCATCTCCTCGGCTTCTGCACATTATCCATGCATGATGTTTTTCACTCCAGGTTTCTCTAGTTATGACTCCTTTGTTATTATTATTTTTTTTTTTCATTTCTATCTGTCTCTCTTCGAGCGCTAGTTAGCACGGTACGGGTCGAGTTGAGTGTTTTCCCATATTTAGGAGTAGATTGTAGAGTAATTAGCGGTGTTAGTACTCAATTACCGTTAACTCGTTGTCCAGTGCATGTGTGATAGGGACGACGAGTCCTGGCACCTTGAAACAATGGTCGAAATGGAAGATTCTTCTTTGTACACGGAGACGTTTTGGCATATGGGCGAAATTCCTCTGACCGGGCAGGGGATATTGGACCTAACGTCGGCCGCCTTTAGTCGCTCTTAGTAGCCAAAATGTTAAATAATATATTTCTTCGGGTAAATGGATTTTTATTTTCCCAGTGTAGAAGGAAAACCTCAGGGAGATCTCGATTCTGAGGTGTATCTTAGTTTCGGTATCGCGTACAAGTCATGGATTAATTATTTGAACAGGGAGCCATTTCGACATACGGGCGAAGTTCCTCTGACCGTGCCGGGGATATTGGACCAAACGTTGGTCGCCAAATGGGTTAATAAATCAAATTCATTAAATTTTTTTAAGGCCCATTTTTATATTTGGAAAGTTTGGAAAATTCGAAATAATGTATCTGACTTCCATTTCTGTCATTTCGGCATAAAGTTTGGGATTTTCGCACGCAGCACGTGATAGTCACCAATTTATTGGCTCGTTTCGAAAGCTCGAGGATAAAGTAATTATTCTTATCACTCGGTGAATTTTTTACAGAGGTCTTTTGCTTGGATAAACATTTGGAGACGTTTTGAAGCGTTTAGGAATTTTTTACACGAGTTTTCCGAACGAGTCAGTCATTTTGTTAGTCCTCGAGGATCGCGCTTGTCGAGGCTCGGAAAATTCGAAGCTTTTCGAGATTACCCGGTAAGAGTACCCGGTAAACGCGGTCCTCGTAAATTTTGATAAGTACCTAGCTAGAAATTCAGGTTAGATAGCGCCGGGGAAAGATCGTTCCAGTTCGAAATTTCCCTGTTGAACAAAAGATATGAAAAATATAATTAAAATATCAAGGGCTTTCAGAAGAGTCGGCAGTTCGTCGAATTAAGCTGTTCATCTTCCATCACTTCTAATTACCCATTTCATTAAAACGTCACATCCACCCTTATCACCCTAATCACCCATTTTTAACATCCGGATGACAACAGGTACGTACACCTCGACTCACCTGACGCTTCGCCGGCTTTTCTTCGAGTCTTTGATTTGCCGATAAAAATTGCGAAAAAATTGCGAAAAAATTATGAAAAAATTCCCAAAAATTATGAGAAGTCCTAGAAAATTACCGGGATTGGTATTACACTCTATGTGATTACCTAGTGCTTCCCTCGTGACATAATGCCCGAGCTGAGTGGTTATGAAATTTCGGAAAATTATGAGAAAAAATTCCCCTTTGAGGGCCAATCAGCTGGAACGAGTATCGATAGTCGATTAGCGATTAGGCCTTAGGTACCTAGGTAGGGTAGCTAACATGTGTAGTGGTTTGTTGCAGACGACCACCATCCTCCCCCCACATTCACTCCGCCAGAACTGCCCAAGATGGTTCACGTGAGAGGTACAGTCACACCTCGGTTTAACCATGCTACAGTCTCGCAAGATGCTCTCCTAAGTCCAGAAAGGATCAGCCTCGATAGTCTTTCGATATTAAAAATGGATAATAATAATCACCAATGATCAATAATCAAATCGCTCGCAAGGCCTTTCCTTAAAAAAAGCCTTGGGCGCGTTCCAACTTTCTGTACTTAAATATTTTGCTATACAAAATTCGGGATTATTTTTTTTTTTATGTAAATGCACGGTGCCCATAGAACCTCCATAGATCTCGTAGAGGATAGTACGCCGAGGGAGTGCCGATTAATTTTTTTTTTTAAATTGTGAAATTACCGACCACCTCTTGGAGTGTTCTCCATGGACTGCTGTATTAAAAATGGGGTTAATTTATAATCCCTCCCTCTAGGGGACTCTTTCGTGGTTTAGTTCCTTCCTAATCCTACTTATAAGTTTCCTTTCCATTTAATAGCGCCGTAGAAATTTTTCCTATTTTTTTATTCATTTTTTCCTCCCCGGAACTTCTCAGCTGAAGGCGGCAGTTTTTCCTCGGACTCGTTAACGTCCGGTGTTTTTCACTTTGAAGGCACCTCGGCAGTAGTTAAAAAGTAACGAGACCTTGGTTTTCCAGCGAAGACGTTTTCGGGATGGACCGACCCCGGGAAGAGTCGCAGGAACTAGCCTAGTTATTTTTTTTTAATTTTTTTTTCCCTAGAACTTGTAAACGTAGCACCCCATAGAGCAGTAGAAGTCTCTTCGTCAATCCTTTCGACCGTTTTAAAAAAGTTATTAACCAAAGATTTTCCCTGCTTTTTTTTTATTTATTTTTTTCTCTTTCCCCACTTAACGAGGATCGTTATTTCAGCACTCTTGTCTTCTGTCTGGGATGAGTCTAGGACGAGACGGTGCTAGCCTGTAAGCATGGGGAAAGCTGTAGGTTTCCCATACACGAGGAAAGGGGGGAGTTAGGTCACCCTATCGAGTGACGTCATTTATTAATAATTTCTTTCCCTTCTTTCGAATCTCGACTCGCTTGATCGATATTAGGCGCTAATCGCTGATAGCACGTACAAGGGCGGTGATAATTCCTATCTGTGATTTTCTTTCTTTTCTTGTAGGTGAGATCAGTCGCGAAAGGGAGGATCCTAATGGTGAGTTATTAAAAAATATAGGAATTATTGGAAAGATATTTTTGCAGACAGGGTGGAGGGGTAAGGCTCTTTGTTCGTGTGTTTTCAGCCATGAGGAACCATCGGAACTCCGTGGGGATGGCGACGATGAACTCGACTAAGCAGGTTAACAAGGTCAAGCCAAATGTTAACAGAACACCGAACGACAGTCTGTCCAGCCCGAACCAACCGTACAATCAGAGGTATCGCCTCCTCTTTCCCTCTTTACTATTTTTTTCTTATTTTTTTTTTCCCTTCCTTTATACCCTCTTCACACGATCTCGCAGTCTCACCGAATCGCGTTTTCCAATTCCCGACGGAGGAGCCTAAATTAATTGTTAACACATCCACTGGGATGGATTGACGAGTTCCGGGGTGTTTATTAACATTGTTAGTTTATATTGTTTAAGGCTCTTCCACGGAGATTGGCGATAAATCGCTGTCACTTGTAGTTACACTCGTCGAGGGTGTCGAGCGATCCTCTGGGTGGAATTTACGGCCATCGTGTAATTAATTCTTCATTAATGGTTTTCTTTATACTAGTAGAATTTAATGACATCTTTCAGTTAGTGTGTAATTATTTTCTTAGGTCAAAATGTTTGCGATGTCATTGGGAGATTTTTTATTTAAAGAATATCGGGAGGATAGGATCCTCTGGGTGGAATTTATGGTTACCGTGTAATTAATTCTTTATTAATGGTTATCTTTATACTAGTAGAATTTAATGACATCTCCCGGGAAGTGTGTAATTATTTTCTTAGGTCAAAATGTTTGCGATGTCATTGGGAGATTTTTTATTTAAATAATATCGGGAGGGGGAGATGTCCTGAAGAGGACTTTTGCCAGGAAGTAAATACCCCACCGGATTCGAATCTCCACCCTGAGGTGCGACTCGCGTCTCGAAGTCACTCCTCTTTTTCTTTTTTTTTCTCTCTGTTATTATTTATATCACCGCCCCACGAGGATGCCATTATTCTCCCCTAAGCGAAGCTTCTCTCTATTTTCGCCGAGTGCACCTTAACGACCTCGCACAGGAGCTGGATCTCGACTTCACTTCTGCATCCCACCTCGAGGAAGCATGAGCTATGAAAAATCACGGATATATACTTGTATCTCTCCTCTGTACCTCTTTCTCTGGTTTCCTCTCGACGAAGTCTCCTACTCGCTACTAATAAGTCGAGGAGCTTCGACGCGATCCAGAATCACCTCGAGTCACGTATCATCTTTTTTTCTTTCTTCCTCTCTTCCCTTCCTTTTCACGAGACCCCGAAGAGCTGCATCGAGGACGAGGAGAGGATGCACCAGCCCCAGGAGAGGGCTCGAAAGGACGCCTTTTCATCCTCTAACGTAAAACAAACGCGGAGAAACATTTCTCCAGGGTGAGAAAGGCGCCTCCTGGGGAGATGGAAATTAAAGGAAAGGTCAAGAAGTACCATTGGTCGTAAATGGAAATTTCTCGGCCCGGAAGTCTAGGGGAGAAATTTTTCTTCGTCTCGCCCAGCCTCTCCTAGGATTAATCAATTAACATCGATTCACGACTTAAGACTTCGTTTCCGAGAGAGCGAGGGACGGCCTGACCAGGAACTCCCCCGAGGAAGAAGATTTAACCCTATCTAGTCGCCTTTGGAGCTCTCTCCCGGAAGTGCGCGGGAAGAAGATCCTAGGAAGGGGAGACGGACTCGATCGGATCGATCTTCCGGTCGATTAGAGTATCGACCTTGGAGAGCCGATCGAGACGATTGGAAATCAACCTGCCTTCTGTTTCCAGATCGCAAGAGGAGTCCGCATACGCTGGCTACCATCTCAGCTACGAAGTCAAAAAACTCATGTACGCTTCTGCCGTTAACACTGTCTCTTATATTGTGCCGAATTTATTAGGCTTTGTTTATTTATATACCTCGCTGGTAGACGCGCTTTCGCCCTAGGAAGCTGCCACGCACTTTTATACCCTCCATGCATGCGTTTACTTACCTTGCCGTGCTCGCTAGTGGGTGTAATTAATCGTTAACAATGGCAGGATCGATTGTCACCTGCGTAAGCGGGGGTGGGGTTGATATTGAGAACTCTTTGTTTGACATCTCAAAATTAAGTCTCTCTTAATTATTATATTATTTCCTATTTTTTTACGGCGCATCTCGAATTACGCGGTCCCGCTTATGCAGGTGACTTCGACGGCGATTCGCAGCCCTCAGGTGCATAGAGGCTGATTAGTCGGCACCTGCGTACGTGGGGATGGGATCGATAATGAGAGCTCTTTTTGTTTGACATTTCAAAATTAATTATTATATTATTCCCCATTTTTTTACGACACATCTCGAATTACGCGGTCCCGCTTACGCAGGTGACTTCAATGGCGATTCGCAGCCCTCAGGTGCATAGAGGCTGATTAGTCGGTACCTGCGTACGTGGGGATGGGATCGAAATTGAGATCTCTTTGTTTGATATTTCAAAATTAATTATTATATAATTTCCTATTTTTCTACGACGCATCTCGAACTACTCGGTCCCGCTTACGCAGGTGACTTCGACGGCGACTCGCAGCCCTCAGGTGCATAGAGGCTGATTAGTCGGCACCTGCGTACGGGGGGATGGGATAGAAATTGAGATCTCTTTGTTTGACATTTAAAAATTAATTATTATATTATTCCCCATTTTTTTACGACACATCTCGAATTACGCGGTCCCGCTTACGCAGGTGACTTCGACGGCGACTCGCAGCCCTCAGGTGCATAGAGGCTGATTAGTGGGGCAGCCTATGTACTGGCTGATACTAAACACTTTGTAGCTGATGATACGAAGTGCGAATATCTTCGAGAGACAAGATCCCGAAGTGTCGGCTTAGGTCCCGGAAGTTTCTTAGGTCCTCCGAGGTCCTCTCGAGGAAGTAGACGTGGATGCCTGGCCACGAGGTCGCGTCCACATTGTGGGAACGTGGAAAAGCAACGTCCAGAACATCCCTGATCTTTATTACATCCAACAATCCTAATTCTCCCCAGGATATCAAATTTAACTATACGAGAAAGAGTTTTAACACCCAATGTCAAACTTATCTCTAAGGGTTGCGGCCATTTCTTTTTTTCTTTTCCTAAGCAACAGTCCACGGGGAATTTCCCACAGCGTGGACGCGCCAGTGAGGATTTTTGGTACGCGTTAGAGGACGGGAAATGAAAGAGAAAAAATGAAGAAAAAAAAAAAAGAGCTTGGATTTCTATGACGAATCTATGACGCGTCTATTGTCTCCTCGTTCCAGGCCGACCACCAGGGCTTCCGGGGGCGCCAACGTGAACAACAATGGCGGCCTCCAGGTGGGAATCGCCGACGACCAGGCGAAGGACTTCGACTTCGAGAAGACCGAGATGAAGTACGACTCGACGGGCATGTTCCATTGGAGTCCTGCCCGAAACCTCGAAGACTGCATTCTGGATCGCAACCAGGCGGCCATGACGGTCCTCAACGGACATGTCGTGGTGTGTCTCTTCGCCGATCCCGACTCACCCCTCATCGGACTGAGAAACCTTGTCATGCCATTACGAGCTTCCAATTTCCATTACCACGAGCTTAAACACGTAGTGATAGTTGGGTCGGTGGACTACATAAGACGCGAGTGGAAGATGCTGCAAAACCTGCCGAAGATATCAGTGCTGAACGTAAGTTCTACTGAGGGGAAAAAAAAAAAAAAAGAAAAATGTCCCGCCGAGGGAATTGCAATGGTTAAACATGCCCTTACCACTTTAGCGGGTTATCTTTAAAAATGTGCTATCTGGTCGCCCGACGTTTGGTCGAATATCCCCTGCACGGTCAGAGGAATTTCGCCCGTATGTCGAAGTGGCTCCGTGTTCGAAGGGTTAAGAATGTTTCTTGCCAGGCGAGGAGAGCATCGACCGGGACGTTTTTCTCAGGGGAGACGATGTGGAGGTTTTGGGGGGTGATTTTTATTTATTGACCACCGACGGGGTACAATGTCTAATGACTTTTTTAGGGCTCGCCGCTGAGCAGGGCGGATCTGCGAGCGGTGAACGTGAACCTTTGCGACATGTGCTGCATCCTGTCGGCAAAAGTGCCTAGCAACGATGACCCCACCCTCGCCGACAAGGAGGCCATCCTTGCGTCCCTTAATATCAAGGCCATGACGTTCGACGACACCATAGGAGTGCTCAGCCAAGGTTGGGGAGCCCCTTAACCCTCCCATGACCTCTCGTCCCTCCCGAGAGATGGCGCTAATTAATGTGACCAATTTTAATATCCACCCCAGTTGGCAGTCCGATCGTCCTCCAGCGTCGAGGATCCGTCTACGGGGCGAACGTGCCGATGATTACAGGTAATCCACCTGGTTACCTACCCTGTACCCTCCTCCGGGAGACTTAACTCCACCTTCTGTTCCTGGCAGAGCTGGTCAACGACAGCAACGTGCAGTTCCTGGACCAGGACGACGACGACGACCCGGACACCGAGCTCTACCTCACGCAGCCCTTCGCCTGCGGGACCGCCTTCGCCGTCAGCGTGTTGGACTCCTTGATGTCGACGGTAGGGGTGCTTTTTTTTTTACTTTTTTAACCCCTGGAAGAAACGGGGGAGAAATTCGGGCTTCGGGCTGATCGACGCTCCTCTTTCAGACGTACTTCAACCAAAACGCGCTGACCTTAATCCGGTCGCTGATCACCGGAGGGGCGACCCCGGAACTGGAATTGATTCTGGCAGAAGGAGCAGGCTTGAGGGGTGGATATAGGTGAGGGAGATCAGACTTTTTAGTCAGATAAGACTGGGGCAACGAGGCCGAGGTATCGACCCGAGGGGAGCCGTCTGAATTCCCGCGACTTTTGGCTAAGCGAGTATATAGAACAATTGTTTCTTGTTATCGTATACGATCCGGACGACAATATACCTACGTACATGTAATCACAAGGTTGCAAAGAATAATTCATGTAGATTTAAATCGAATTTATATACTCGTGACGCGTTTAATCGCAAGAGTTTCTTGTTATCGTATACGATCCGGACGACAATATACCTACGTACATGTAATTACAAGGTTTCAAAGAATATTTCAAGGTGATTTAAACCGACTTTATTTACTCGTGATGCATTCAATCGCAAGATTCTATGCCAAGACGATGGTAACGCGAGGTCTCGGAGGGGAAATTTAATTCCCCTGGAAATCACAGATGGCGCAGGGGGTCCATTAGGGCCCCAGAAAGCACTTTTTCTGGAGTTTCACTTAGATTTCTTGATAATTATTGTAATAAACGACTGGCGGAGGGTGCCATTTGGTACAATGCCCAATCTAATTCGACCCAGCTGTCGATATAAAAACCAAGGTCGGCAACGTAGGCATTTAGAAAGATCTTCGTTATCGACCTTCGTGTCTTCACCTTAATGGGGGAATATTTTTTATGTTTCAGCACCGCGGACAGCCTGGCGAATCGAGATAGATGTCGCGTTGGTCAGATCTCGCTGTACGACGGGCCTTTGGCTCAGTATGGCGAGGGAGGCAAGTACGGTGACCTCTTTGTTGCGGCATTAAAGTCGTATGGAATGCTGTGCATTGGTCTGTACAGGTACAGGTACCGGACTTTCTTTCCCTCGATGGTATTTATTGGATTGCCCCACGTTCTAACGGTCTCTATCGTTACTTCTACACATATTATACATATATATCAATCAATATATACATAAATATAATACGTGTATACGTACGTATATGCATATATATATATATATTATCGCTATACCGCTCTCTTGTAACTCTACCGTCACTATTGTACGAGCTATGATTTCTGCCGCACACCTTTTGCATTTTTTGCGTTTCTCTGCATATCACGCATCGTGCGAGAGATGACACCGAGTCTCTCTATCTTCCTCTATCTCTTTTTCTCTCTTGTAAGTTGCCCCATCCAAAAAATATCATTTCTGGAGTTTCTCGTCCGTCGATTCATGTGTGTCACCTGTTTATTTAGCGCTTAGCTCGGCTCGCTGGAAGCAAGCAAGAGTTTAGTTTACTCTACCTGGATGTTTAGCATAGTCCTTGGAATAAGTTCGATATTTATTTCGGTTTGGGGAGCTGATCGGGTCTCCTTCGGTTTTAGATTCCGCGACACCAGCTCCTCCTGCGACGCCTCCTCGAAGCGATACGTCATCACCAACCCCCCGGACGACTTCACCCTTCTACCTACGGACCAGGTATTGCGGATTTTTTTTTATCAAATATAAAAATCCGCGCAGATACGTGAATTTTATTTTTTTGCCAAGACGATTTTGTAGTATTTTTTTTTACATAAAAATAATTGATTTTCTTTGGCCGGTTTTTTTTTTTTTAAATCTGTGCGTTAAGGGGGTAAAGAGAAGTCTTTCCTCTAGCTCCCCCTAGGAGGCACGTTTCTGATTATCTTAATTTTTATAATTAAATCCGTATTGCACGGTGGCAATTAAAATGTTAGTACTCTAAGAATTTATGTTTGAAAAGATGCGCAATGACTTATGTACCAACCCAATAGTTGATGTCCTTTGTATGCAAATTGATAAGGAATGAAGGTAATCCCTATTAAACCTCCCCGCGTCGCAGGTCTTCGTCCTGATGCAGTTCGACCCTGGTCTGGAGTACCGACCGAGCAGAGGAGCCCGTGGCAAGGACGACGCCTCCTGACTGTTGCTGTGTAGCGCCCTCACCGACGGACCGTACTCCTACATCTAAATCCACCCTGGAGGGCGTCCTGTGGGGCATCATCTCGAGGAGGGATGCTGTACCCGAGGACGTAATCCGGTCCGAGGGCTGCTACACCTATGACGGAGCGGCACACTACGTCGACGGCGAGGAGGCCATCCCCTGGGGGGGCGACCTCTCGCCCCGCGTGTGTCCCACCAGCTACAAGAAATCGGACTCGAAGGCGAGCGAGCTTTGTACAGACCGCCGGACGCTGTCGTACAGGTGTCCCACCGGGCGTTGCGTCGCCGCGACGGCGAGGACGTCCACGTCCCGACGGAGCGCGTCTTCACCGCGTCCTGGTGCCCCCCAAGAGGCGGGGAATCGATGGGAACTCGGCGCCGGTCGCCCCGACCGCGGCAGGGGGATGTTTTGTTAACTATGACTAGTTAAGATTAAATTAAGGCAACTATAGTTGCACCGACAAAGGATTAACCGATGGAGGATCGCCCGGAGGTCCTTGGTCAAGGATCTAAGCCAAGAGTGTCGGGGCGACCGGCGCCTGGTCTCGCCGGTGCGGCGGAAACGCGCGGGACGACGCCGGAAGGGAACGACCGCGATCGACCCCCTTTTCCACACGGTTTTGAGTAAGGTTATATATATCGGTATATATATACATCCTAGGTATATATACATATATGCACGCGTACGTGTATAAATAGACGCTCTCTCTTTTATATATTTTTGTGAACTCACGTGTATATATATATATGCGCTCGCGGTTGCGTATACATGCATGTGGGTGTCGGGGGTGTAAATGACCTCCTGTATACGTGTGTATGTAACGTCGTACATGCCTGTATATGCAGATGCGAAGATACACCGAGAGACGCGCGAGGGTACGCTCGAGAGCCCCCGAGTTCTGGCGGGGAAATTCAAACGGCACGCGACAGGTGTCGCCACGTTCGCGCAAACGGAGAGGGGAGCACGTGGTCTGTGCGGAGCCACCCGGGATGGGTAGGATGGGGTTAAACGACAACTAGCTGTGGTAGACAAAAGCTGCCGTGTTTCGTAAATCCATTAACCGTGTATTACCGCTGCTGCTGCGCCGCTGCTGTTGCAATATCCCACGTGCACTGTTCACTGCCACCGCAGTTCGTGTTGCGTATCGCCGTGTCACTTACCCACGGCTCGACGGTTGTTTCCTGGGCGAGGAAGGGCCCGACGATGAGGCCGAGTTCCTCCTCGATCTCGATTCTAAGGGCGAGGATAATTAAATAGAAAATAAATAGGTAAATGAAAGGATCGACCAGGCGCACAATGGACCTCGACTTCTCGTTGTCGGTCGCGGGGGGAGGACGAGCGACTTTTCCCCGTCCGAGTCGCGCCCTCGACCCAAGGCGTCTCTCGTCGAGCGTTGAGGTTATACAAAGAGAAAAGGGAAACGAGAAAAAAAGAAAAAAAAAAAACAGAAGTATAAGAAGGGAATTCGTGCATTAGATTTGTGCAAGTCGTTCCATTAATTCGTCGACGCCTTGTGTAGTGGTTTACGATGACCGGCTAGGTCCCGGGGAGCCCGGCGGGTGGCGCCACCCTCGCGAGCACAAAGCGCGGCCACTTTGAATCGGCCCTGTTTCTCTTCCCTTCGGCGCCGTTCCCGAAGTCCCAGACACGTGAGAAAAAAAGGGGAACAATGGCCGACCCCTCGCCGGGCTCTTTGCGCGGACCCGAGCCCCCTTCGCGCACTATCTTAATGATAATTAATTCATGCACCGATTCGATCATCGTCCTTACCATTGTTGTCCCGCGCCACGAGTGGCGCGCTTGCGTGTATGTACGGCGTATGTATCTAAACCGACATGATTTGAATATTACGGGGATTAATAAGGTGTATAAAGATAAAGGAGAAGAAAAGGGGGGGAAAAAAAGATAGAAGAACGTATGGACAAAGGCGCGCGGAGCGATCGTCACCTTCAATGCCTCATTGACCTCATCTAATGCTTTTTTATCTGTACATTTACAATTTGTGTACCAATGAGGAACGTTGTTTAATCATGTTGTTGATGTTATTGTTAAAGAATGAGATTCAATATTGTACATAACTATATATTCATTATAATTGATGATATAAATAATTATATACATAAAAGCATCTCAAAACTGTGTTATTTCGTATTGTTACCCTTTCCTGTTCTTCCAACTTCTTCTCAGGTACTCTGTCGGATTCTTTTAGGTAGTTTTTCAGACACTTTCGGGTACTCTGTAACAGCACCTGATTTTTAGGCACCCTCTAAAGTTCCTCAGGTACTTTTTAAGGGCAACTGAAAATCAGGTACTTTTGTAAGGGGCACCTGAAAATCAGGTACCTTTTTAAGGTACCTGAAAATCTCAAAAAAGTACCTGATGCCTCAAATGAGAAGTACCTGCGACGTTTTAAAGGGTACCTGAAAATCAGGTACCTTTTTAAGGTACCTGAAAATCTCAAAAAAGTACCTGATACCTCAAATGAAAAGTACCTGCGATGTTTTAAGGGGCACCCGAAAATCAGGTACCTTTTTAGGTACCTGAAAATCTCAAAAAAGTACCTGATGCCTCAAATGAAAAGTGCCTGCGACGTTTTAGAGGGTATCTGCAAATCAGGTACCTTTTTAAGGTACCTGAAAATCTAAAAAAGTACCTGATACCTCTAGTAAAAAGTACCTGAGTCGTTTTATATGGTATCTGAAAATCAGACACCTTTAAAAGTGCCTGAAACATTTTAAAATGTACCTAAAAGATACTTAGGATACTTAATACTTAGGTATACTTACTTATAAATAGGGAATAAGGGAGGGAATTACTGGGGGGGAAAATAAAAATTCATATAAACCATAACTGTGGTCGATAACAAATTTATTTTCAGTTCCGGCGGTTTCCCAACAGCTGTCACCACTTGCGGCCAAGAAAACCACCCTGGCCCTGTAGATGGTCCCTAATGAATTACTTACCAAAGTACCTGCTCAGGCGGTAAAGAGCCAAACGACTATGCCGTAAATTAACGCAGTTATCCTACAGTCGGTTCCGAGTGTTGCCGACTGGTAACAAGGCAGCCGCTCGATCGGTACGGAAGAGAGCGACGTCGGTGGAAGTTAATCGAGCCGCTAACCGCCGGTTAACTCCAAACACGAATTGTGGTCGAAATGGGTCGCTGAAGTTGTCAGGACTCTCCCGAGGGCTTGTTTATTTTCAGAATTGGAAATTTGATCGCATTTTAAAAGAGGGTTACTGTTTTCTTTTTTATTTTCGGCAGTTAGAGGGTCGTCAGGGCGTTAGGGGTTTCTCGAGGGCGAAGAAAGGACGATCGATGCTTAGCTACGTATTCGGCCTCGATCTCCGACGTGCAACCTCGATAAATTGACAAGTACAATCCCGGCTGAGCCGGAAATGTCCCGTCGGCGTAAAAAGCAGTCAAAGGGGAAGCCGAAGACGGAAGAATTCGACCCCGAGGAAGCGCGAGCCGGGAGGCTGGAAGCAATCAAGCTAAAAAGGCAGGAAACCGTGGAGAGGGTGAAGCTCGAGTTGGAGGCAAAGCTTGCCGAAAGACTGGCGATAAAGAATGCAGATTTAAGTAAAGAAGTAAAGGAGCGCAAGAGGGCGAGCAGAGATCAAAAGAGGACGCCGGCCGAGGTCTCGTCGGTTTAACCCCAACTTAACTTCTCTGCCTCTTCGATGGGATCTGGAATTAACCATGGGACTTCCCCACTTTTCCCTTTCGCCTTTTTAATACCCCCCAGGCCTCGTTTCCCCTTAAACTTCCCCCCCTCCCCTCTCCCGGGAAAATATTCCCCGTTAACCGGCCGCTACCCTTTAACTGCGCACTTAACCGGGGTTTTTCCGCGGTTTACGGCTAAGCTACGCGAGAGAGCTCCTTATGTATATGTATATGTATTATTTTAATATCTGTATGTATATGTATATAGACTTATGTTATCAATTATCCCTCAGGACCCTCCCATGGTACCAGGAACGAATCCGGGGTATCAATTAGGGGCGCACCCCGAATAATTATTCGAATAAAGGGTTAACCGCTCGATTGAATAATCATTCGAGGAAAGTAATCCGATTTAATTGGGCTTCGATCGGTCGAATATCGACCCTTACACGCGATAACCCGGAAGAAAGGATACCAAGTGTCCAGGAGGAATTAATTAAACTACCCCCTCGATATGGGGACTTGAAATTAACCCGGGTAATCCCTGAATAATAGAATAGAAAGAAGAAGACCTCCTCGAGGTCGGAGATGGCTCTGGGTACACCTTCACCAACGTAGGAGACCTCCACGTAATTACAATTACGCGATTCGAGTGCGATTGCGACGGGTCCTGTCATACCGGAGGTGCAGAAAAAAAAATCTCAGGGGATAAAAAAATGTTGATCGACCGATGAAAAAAATTCAGAACACTTGGAGAACCTTCCCGAGACCCTATGTACCCGAGAGAATTGTCCATTGACCCTGGATGTAATTATTTTCGGATTTTCCTCGGTTACCGAGAATGGTAACGGAATAAACGGAGTTTCCCCGGACTCGCGGTGGTTAATTAATTTCATCCCTCTCCGGGTATCTTTTTTAGAGACACTTGGGGGAGGTGAATTCTTAACGATTCCGAGTTTTCCTATCTTTCGGCATCTCGGTCTTCTTCTAGACAAATTGAGCCCCCGGGAGCGGAAAACTTGGAAATAATAACCCAGCCTGGCCATTTTAGTGCCGCGTAACAGGTTTAACCCCGGAACACTACTCCGGGAAAGTTTTCTAATTAGGAAACCGCCGAACGAAAAAGGAGGGTGGCGTAAAAAGAGCCATCTATTTGCGTGCGTTCCGCAGTTTCTTCCCCGGGAGTTAGGGGAAAAGGGAGGGAAAATCGAAAGGAAACGTTCGTACTTCGCGCTCGGCGGGAATTTCTAATTAACGCGTCATTTAATAATCAATTAGTCATGATCTATCCCATAATGAGCGAGAATTCGGGGTATTACACGAATCGATAAGAGCGTCGAGGCTAAACCTCGGTTAAACCTCGGTTACTCGCGGCGGACCGCCGCCATCTTGGAAATCACATCGATCGACTCGTCGCTCGCGATTCAGAAATTCGTTCCACGTTTACTAAGAGCAAATCGCACATTCGAATTAACCGGAACCGTCGAACGATAAAAGAGGGTGGCGTAAAAAAAAACATCTATTGAAAGGGGAAGGAAAATCGAAAGGAAACGTTCGTACTTCGCGCTCGGCGGGAATTTCTAATTAACGCGTCAATTAATCATCGAATCCCAAATTAATCATCAATTAATCAGCATTTATCCCATAATGACCGAGGGTTCGAGGTATTACACGAATCGATAAGAGCGTCGAGGCTTAACCTCGGTTAAACCTCGGTTACTCGCGGCGGACCGCCGCCATCTTGGAAATCACATCGATCGACTCGTCGCTCGCGATTCAGAAATTCGTTCCACGTTTGCGACGGGCAAATCGCGCATTCGAATTAGCCGGCCAAACATCTGCAGTGGAAATGTCAAAGTTACGTCACAGGCGTTGAGCCGTGTAATGATTTGCTGTTTGGAGTTCGTGGGAGCTATCTTCCGGATTGCTCGAAAACGGTAAACAAGCGCAGTCCGGCGAGCGCGTTTCCGCCACGGTGGTGGAATATATGTATCCCATAAATTCCCTAGAAATCCACGTGAGACCCTAGGGAAAATAACAAAGGAAAAGCGAGAGAAAATAGACGCTTCTAAAGTGTCTTACAAGAAAAAAGAAAATGAACAAGTGGCTCGCGATAAAAATTATATTTCATGAAGGATGAGTGATAAGAATATTTTTAATAATATCCTCAGTTAAACACGAGCGATCCCAAGGAAAATAAACTGTGAGCCTCGCCTTGAGCAGGGGAGAAATATTAATTAATATTAATAATCGAGCACTGAGTCTTGTCTGACAAGAAAAAAAAATAAGCAGCTCGCGATAAAAATGATATTTCACGATGGATGAGTGATAAGAATATTTTTAATAATATCCTCAGTTAAACACGAGCGATCCCAAGGAAAATAAACTAAGTCTCGTCTTGGGCAGGGGGGAAATATTAATAAATATCGATAATCTCGCACGAAGAGGGCGTTCGTTCCTCGCGTTTTAATCATCACCCTCGCCAATAACCGGAAACTGGGACTCGAATAATCCGAGAGGCGGATAATGCGAAGTTAATGCACGTAGAAAGACGCAGCCGGGTATTCTCCGCAGGGGCGTAATTAATGCGGCCGTTTACGGGCGTGTATACCGGGCCGGGTTTGCAAAACGCCGATGCGGTAGACGGTGGGAAAGTGGATGGCTGATAGGAGGAATTCCAGGACGAAGGAAAATCCCGGGAGCGGTCGTAGCCTACCAACTAATCTCCGATTAAATGCCTAAGGACTTACTTCCGGAACCCGAGTCGCCGGAAATCAGCTGATCCCCCCTCGCCCGAAATCCCGAAATCGCTTGCCAAATATCGGATCGCGTCCTTAAAAAAAATTATCCCCCGACGAGACGTAAAAAAATGTCCTCTGATAAAAACTGAAATTATGAATTAAAAAATTCATCCGCGGGAATTTTCGAAATCTTGGAGGTTAGTTCTCTCTCCCGTGAATCCGGAGGGTGGAGGAAATCAAAATTCCGTAGCGGGGTCTTTTTCTTTCTCCTCCATCATCCTGCATCCTGCAACATCCTGTGCACTTCCTTTGAAATTTAAATCCCTCCTCGCTCCTTCTTTATAATAACGCCGGCAACATGCTGCCGGTCGATGTTATCATATTCATCATGGATTGCCATATCGGGTTCCTTTGCATCCTGAAAGATTCCCCCGTCTCGGGAATTAATCTCGAGACGAGGGAATAACTAAACAACCCCGTGGAAACTTCATTGGCGGATTTTTTGACGCGAAAGTGCCATCCAGGAGATCGATATCGTTCGATCACTTTTCCTCCGGTAAATTATTCTTGTTAAAGGCGCCCGACGTTTGGTCGAATATTGCTTGCCCGGTCAGAGGAATTTCGCCCGTATGTCGAAACGGCTCCGCGTTCAAAGAGTTAATCGATGACTCGTATGCAATATGAAAAAGAAGAAACACCTCGAAATCGAGAT